TTTCATTTTTATTTAGGCATTTTTAAATAGTTCGAAATATTCATGAACTGGAAAAACATGTACAGCAGAGCTTTTGAGAGGAGCAAGCATGGAATTAAGTGAAAATTTCTTTTCATAATTTATTATTTAATTATACTTTTGTTACACTCCTTTTTTATATTTATGTATATTATTATAACTAATTTTAATTAAAATTTTGAATTTATTCATGCAATAAAAACTCTATTATCTACTGCGCAAAAGAATTTTTCACTTGTGATAGATATACAGTCATAACTGAGAAATTGCAGTTATGATTGCGTTTCAGTCATAACTGACAATTTTCAGCTATGATGGATTTATAGTCAGCAATGACTCAGAAAAAGACATGAGAGTGAGCAGTATAGATATATAGAGAATCAATTCCGAATACCCATGCGTTAAAGGGAGAAGCAAACTCACACACATACGTTTGATTACATCAGTTTTTGCACAAGGCTCTTAAGAAAATGATAGAAACTTTATTCTGCGCGCTGACTAAATTTTTTCAGCTGTGGCTGTCATATGATCAGTCAGTCACTGTTCTTGTAGGGTAGCTTCCTTCTTAGTCTGTTTACACGTACTTATGTATTGGCTGTGGTTGTTATGAGTCGTGTTGTTATTTTTTACAAACAATTAGAACATTTTCCAGCTGTTGGCAATTTCCAAAGCAACCTTGGGTCAATAGCTACAATCGTATCATTGCTGTTTTTATCCTTGCGGCTTTCCGCAGTGTTATACTTAATCAATAAACAGCCGAGTTTCCATGGTGATATCCTTATTGAATGGAAATAAATTTTCAGGACTCAAAATATTACTACATGCTAATGACCACGGTTTGGTCGATAATCAAATTAAATTTGTAATTTCTTGTCAATACAAAAATATCCAAACTTACATACAAACGTACTTATAATATTGTCTTATATTTCGCAAAATTTCCGATTGCACCTGTGCTTACAAGTATGTATGTATGTAAGTACACACACATTTATGTTAATGAATAGGTAATAATATAATATTTAAGCCGAATCAGCTGTAGCCGATTTGTGAGGATATATGCTTTATGAGGACAAAGCATAAATAAGAAAGAGTTCTAGACCGTGAGGTGCACTCTTATATAATTAAAATTATGACTTGCAAAGTCGTTGGTACTTTAATTATATCGCTGGGTTTAGTTATGGGTATTAAGTTTCTCTATGATTAATGCTCTCATATGCGCGTTTTCAAGATTATCTAGTTATAAAATTCATAAATATTAAAATTCTTTTATTTAAGAATTTTACTAAAGTAAATTCGCATATGATTACAGACAATTGAAAAAACTGGACATTTTTATGTTTTTGTTCAAAGTCCATGTTTTTGTAACTTGTAGATTCAATCATATCTAAAGCAACCGATATCGTACGAAGCATCCGTTCCAAAGATTCGAGCTAAGATACCTTTAATTTTAATTTCGAAAAAGCGGCACTTTCTTAGATAAAGGTTCAAAGTCCATTTTTTACTTTCTCATAATTTTTTACTTTTAATCATGTTTACAAAAATTGGCATGGGCAAGAACAGTTGCACAGAAGCAAGCGACATACATACCATACATAGGAGCGTTCGATAAAGCAATAATTTGTATAAACTTGTGTTAAGGTTTTAAAAGGTTTTTTTCAGAAATGTTTAGTCACTTAGAATTTTATAAACAAACTAAATCAAAAACAATGTAAGAAATTTATAATATATATATTTTTTATACCGGATGGAGAATAGCGAGAATTCCTAAGTTTAAACTGAGAAGATTTTAAAATCTACTAACAAACCTATGAAACTTTAATAGCTTAATTTTTGAGACTCTGATGATGATTTTAAAAAAGTAATATGTTGTGTGTATGTTGTTTATTGATCGTTTTGGAAATTTCGACACTTTTTGGTAGTTAATATTTTCAGAACACCGTTTCCGATATCAATTTTCGGTTCTTAGTCGATATGTTAACACGTTTTTTTAAAACGTACAAAAGCAATCAAAGAATAACACAACCTGATAAGGCGTTCAATTAAATGGACAAGTGCGTTCAGAAGACAAGAATTAATAATGTAACATAATAATTATTTTCGAAACCTGGGTCTCCGAACGGCGATAAATATCATATGCATATATATATAAAAGAAAGAGTTCGAGAGTTATATATATTTATATATGTGTATGAATGTGTGTTTGTATATGAATACGAGTGCATACATACTTACATATATGTACAATATGTGTTAAGATATGTTAAAGGTCCTACGTAAAGTATTAGGGTTGCCTTCGTTAGCTGTTTTAGCCTTTCAAATTAGAACGAGCCGTTAAATATACTTAATTAATTTTAACATTTGAAATTAAATTTTAAGTACTGGTAAGTATGTATTTAAATTAAAAATGACTGCAATAAATAATTTTGATTATTTTAAAAAATCGTCATATATATAATATTTTATAAATAGAATTAAAGAATCAATGCTAGCTTTTAATGTGTCATATTAATGAGACCTTCCGTCGGTATAACGTACATATATTGCCTAATTTTTGAGAATTGGTTAAATTTGGCTAATATGTTCGTGCGAACAATAATTCAGTTCAAATACTTGTTGTCGATTTGAACCATAGCTCCGAATTATTTCTTTGAATTTTAATTAATAGTAAATATCTCATTTTAAGGACTTTTTAGACTTAATTCAAGAAATGGAGAGTAATGGGCTTATATGTATATCGAACAATATAGTATCAAAAATATATATGTATGTATGTATAAGTAGATCGGGCCACGCGTTGCTGTGGCTAAGGTTAACATGAAATATTATTATAATAAATAATCAAATAAAATTAACGAATAAAGGCGAAAACGATATTGTTGGTATAAGAATCCAAAGGATTGTAAACTTGAGGTCTAATTTTGAAAATGATTGATACAAAAATTTGTCAATGGAAAAAATTATGAATTTTGCACTTAGAATTTTACCCAAAATAATATGATTATGTTTAGAAATATATATTTTTATTAATGAACTGTTTTGACTTTTAACATTATTGAAATATATAAACAATATCATCTTTTAAGGTGGATCAGGCTGAACACAATAGAAGTATACTCCGGACAAAACGTGGCACGTAAGCTGTGCATTAGAAAAAAACTTCCCTACAACGTCCAAATTGAAGTGTATACTTATTTACGAGAATGACTGCAAGATATATGATAAGCAATGCCAGTGATAAGTATTGATAAGTAGTGAACGTTTCAAAAAGTATATATTTACTTAATAAACACTTCCAAATTTTCTATTAAAATTGTTAATCATGCTTTAATTTGCTTGTAGTTACGTTTGTCCGTAGTATTTACAAATTTATCGTGTGCATTTTATGAATTTACTGATGTGATTTTTTATTTGAACCCTTACCGACTGCTTTCAATACTTCATAAAGTACGTTATCATTATGTATGAGGACAGAAAAAGGGCGAGGGTTTATTTTAAAAAGCTATAGAACATAATGAGGTAAAATTTTGATAGTTATGAGACTTTTCGTGATTTTCAGATACTTTCCTTTGGTATAAGATTTATTTTCGAGATCTCAAATATTCTAAAAACTAAAATATTGAAATGGGAAGTATACATCGATGAACTTTTAACTGCGTACTCTGAAAAACAAGTTTATAGACGCATCTAAAGACTATCAAAGCATGAGCTTTTAATTGTAACCTTCTCCAAACAGTTTCCACTTTTTTTATTATCAGACAGAAGATTGCATATTTCGCTTAAAACTTCTCGAAAAAAGATCTCGGTTCATAGATTTTTAAGGATATTAAATGCTCTACAAACGGGTTTTCTCTAACGGTTTTTCAGTACCTTAACCGTTTAAGAGATATTAATGGTTGAAGTTTGACTATTTTGAAGAAAATTTCTTTCTCTATTTTGAATTTCTCAATGAAAAAGGAATTATTTTAAATTGCAAGCTCATATTCTTGTAGGAAATTTTCTACTCTACAAATATTATCTGGATAATTTTTTGATTAAGTTAAGCGGTTACGAGATATTCATCGTCAAAGATCAATGCTTATCAAAGGAAATTACAAAAAAGAGAAAAAAATACCATTTTTGTAGAGCAGTAAATTTCCTACAAGACTATGAACTTTGCGATATAAAATGATGTTTTTTCATTGAGCCAATTTTATAGAGAATGAAGCTAAATAATGACATTCGGATTTTTTACCCACCCTAATATATATGTATGTTTAAGTATGTATTATTACTTGTTCAAATAAATCTTTATTAACATAGTGAGAAATTCTTAAGTAAATAAATGATAACATTTATTGTATTTTGACAATTATACTATAGCAATTACTTTTTGCAAATCTTATCGCTTCATAACTAAAAACAAATTACCAGGTACAATAATAACCTGGCGTTAAAATTTTTGGCAAACATTTATATATTTCTCCAAAATGCGTCCATATGTAAGTCTATTGATGATTGAGAGGATTCATATTTGGAGTATCGGTGCTAATAATACAGAATCATTAATTTAAATTTTTGGGAAAACTTTATAGATTTATGAAGGAAAATAAGGGTTTCAATGGATCGGTCACACTGTTTCATTAATTCTAATTATTAATGATCAAAAATAAAAAGTCTGTTAAAAGCAACACCTGTTAAATTGCGGTATGGCATACAAAACACTTTAATTTATTTAATTATTATTATTTTTGATTATGTAATTAATATTAATGTCATTAACATATTAATGGTATGGATGTTAATATTAGAGTGATGGTATATAAGCCTTACAGAATTCATTCAAGAATAACAATATACTTTTTCAACAATCAACATTATATAACAAAAACCGTGGGCATAAAAACGGATATTTTGGCCAACTAATTAGTAAAGCGTTACGAGAATAATTTCACGAGGATAAAATGTGAAAAGAGAAAGTCTTACAGTCGTTATTCACTCACCTTGGGCAATTCTGACGGCGGGCATTTTAATTCTCATCTTTCCTGAGTTAGCAATTAGTAGGGTTTATGGAAGCCTGACGAGGAGTTTATCCACATCAAGAGGCACTTCGGCCGCGGCTACAATATTTTAGTTTCTGCGATGCTTTTTTCAACTCACATATGCACGACGTGATATGTAAATATATTAAAAGGAATCAGTCTACAATATTAGCTATGTGCCGCGTTAAGTTCATTCGTAGACCTTTGTTGTACCGATCCACATTCGGATTTAACACACCAACACTTGACTTTCAGCTTTTCGTAATAAAGAGCTGATTTATACTTTATTTGATATTTTTTAAGAACTTAACATACCCACAGTGTTAATATTTTGATTTTCGTTAAAACATGCACTTGCTCAGCTTTATGTACATACGCACATATACTTGTATGTAAATAATCACAATAATTTTTTTAATATTTTTAATTAACGATAGGAACCTTATACACTTTTTAACAAAACAGAGCAAATGCAATTTGTTTTATATACATATGTTTCATCCTGGAGATGTCGATATTTGCGGAATGTTATTGCAGCTCTGGAAACTCCATTTCTGTTTCAGTTTTTCAGTAATTTTGTTATTGTAATTTTGTATTAACGCGCATTAACTTTTGTATGTGTGTTTTCATTACACTTTTTTATGGTTTGGTATGTTGTTGATTTCAATATATATTTTTTGTCACACATTTAGGTGTTCGTCTTTTCTAATTCGACAATTGGATTCCAATTAGAATACTTCCCTGAATCACTTGTAAGGGAGCGAACGAGTGAGAGAGTTAAATAAAACAGTTACCGGTCACTGATTGCTAATGTTGAAGAGAACACTACTACAAACTCGTATGCCTTTCGCTTTTGCACTTCCTGCGTGCAAGTGCGAGTATGAGTGCGTCCTTGCGCGCCGATGTCCTGCGAGTGACTGTGGCCACACACATTGGGATAATTCAATTTTATCTAACGGTTTTTACACTTTGATGCCAATTTAAAAATTCGATTTTGGTTTATTGGTTACGTTGTTTGTGTCATCGGCGACGGCGGTAACGGCCCCCGTATGCTGGCGGATGGAGGTGACGTTGGTGGTGAAGTCGACTTTAGGACTGATGGTAGTATGCAGACAGTGCCACTGCTTTAGCGACGGGAATGGATAAGCAGCTGATTGACGACTTTGTCGCTCAGTTAGTTAGATGCGGCGGGATAAGGGTGGTACGTTATTTACCGCCACATTGTCCCATAAGAAGGTATTTGTGCTCATATGTTTGTAGGTATCCATGTGTACAGTAGCTCAAGTTATGTTCATATGTATGTACATACATACTTACATACATAAACAAACGAGTATATTTGTATTCTTAGTGGGTGGATTTATGTCACTATTCAGTCGCACCACTAATTTGTTCAATTACCGCCTCTCTGTGTCCGATTCATATGCGGTGTGTAATATGTTTGTTTATTTCTGCCGCTAAAGTTATTAAGACTTTTATACACAACTGGACAAAGAAATAACTGATAACAGTGTAAACATTTCCGCTACAGGTAGATAAATGCTCAATTAGTTCTCGCGGCGGTTTTAGAGCGCAAATTGTTTATTTACTTTTTTTTTAATTTTTGATACGACGTTTGACTTGTTTGTGTTCAATTTGTAAGCATAATTTATTGAAAATTTTCCGAAGGTATGTGGAATACCTGAGGCAACACTTATTCACTGATAACAACCCTTTTTTGATTTGTACGTACAAATGTGTATGTGACAGTAACATTGAAATACACGTTATTGCAAAAATACACAAATATATAAAAAACTTCACTAATCAGAACTATTTTGCAAGAAAGCACGTCCTCACAACGCGACAGTCCGTGTGCGTCTAACTAATAAACTCACATTAGTCGCATCCGTCCATTTACCATTTACCATTCATACGGCTACTGGCTCTGTCATTCTGTCGCGCTTGGCTTTCTTTGTTAGTTTTAGCTTTGCTCACTTCTCCTCCATCGTCGACTAGCCAACCGGCCGACCTTTCAGCTCGGTTGAAATCGACTTGACTCGAAAGTCGCCACTCGCCACTCACGAGTTAAATAATAACAGACATACATACATTTGTATGTATGTATGTGAGTATGCACATATGTACTTAGGGCTGACTGACTGCTTGGCCTTACTTGCTTGCTCACTCACGCTCACCACAAACACCGTGATAAAGTGGCGCGGCGGCGTCAACAATTGTGTTGTGTTGGTGGAGATGGTGACGGTGACGGTGGCGATGACGACAACTACGACGTCGACGACAACGGCAACGATGCCTATAACAACGGAGTTGGTAAAAGCACTTGGGCAGCAGCAAAGGCAGCAACAGGGGTTTCTCATGAGCACAGTTGCGTTTCGTTTCGGTAACATTGGAGTAAGATGCGAAGGAGTGTAGTGGTAAGATAAAGAGCGGACTGGTGCGTTATGGTTAGAGCTATTTGGTGTATGAGAGGGATGTGTTGTTCACGGAAACAACAAAAACAAGAATGAAATAAAGAGGTGTGGAGTATAAGCGTTCGGTTGCGCCACCACACAATCTATATTGTGGATGCGTTGTTACTTTTGACTGGAGTGAGTAAATGGACTATTTGTGTGCGTAAGTGTTCGTCAGTCGGCGTCCGGAGAACGGAAAGCGGAGGACGATTTGTGTCGTCTGCTCAGCAACACATGTACGAGTTCAAACAAATCTACAGGCGTGCTTTGTGGTAGTACGTCTTCGGATGTATGCATATATATATGTACACATGTACTATATATGGAAATGTATGTATGTACTTTACGAATGTGCACAAGAGGCTATGCATGTGGCAAACGGTGTTGTTGGCAACAAAAGGCCGCAGAGTTGTAGTTATTGATGTTGTTATATATGCGTTTAAATCCCTCGCATGTAGATCTAAATATGTATATATATACATGTATGAATGAACAGTATGTTAGAAGGGTACATAATAGATATATACATACATAAATGTATGATCGTTCAATATTTCGTTTCTAGCGTAGCTTGTTTACTTATTGCTTTGACAATACTCTTTTACGATTGCCGCACCTTGCGTAGCAGGTCTGACCTCAACTTTGCCAATGACACTAGCAACAACAATCGTACACACATGGATACATTAGCTGGTTGTTATTGCACTTTGAAGATATTTACATACAAATATATGTACATATACATATATATTCTCAAGTATTATATATGAACGCATCAAGAAATGCATGCAAATGTGAGACATCTTAATATATGTACATATATTGGTATATACAGAAATATAAAAATATGTACGTGCATATATATAACAAGTAAGGAAGGACTAAGTACGGATGTAACCGAAAATTTTATACTCTCGCAAAGTCAAATGGTATACTCGTTTGAGATTTAATTGTGGATTGACTGATATTTTCGGTAGAAGGTCAACTACAGGCACTGGGGTCCACATATTTAGTACTTAGGGGCTTGAACAGTTTTGGTTCGATTTAGACAATTTTTGGTCACAAGATGGCATACTTTAAACGTATTATTCACGCAAAGTTTTACCCCGATATAATCATTGTTGCTTGATATGCATAGTGGAAAGTGAAAGAATCAGATGGAATTGAAAATGGTGTTATATGGGAAATAGGCGTGGTTGTTGTCCGATTTCGCCCATTTTCGCACTTTAACATAGAAATATGAAAAGAACGTTATGCACCGAATTTAGTTGAAATTTGAACGCTGTCTAATTTTGAACGCGGTTCCTATAAAGTCATCTCATACCATCCCAGAGATAAAATTTAATATCTCTGACGTGTTTAGTGCTTGATTTATCGCGCTTTTAGGAGTTTTTAACAGTACCGTTATATGGGGAGTGGGCGGAGTTGCCTCCCGATTTCAACTATTTTCACACTGTAGGTAGAAGTTCTAAAAACATTTACTTCCAGTAAATTGTGTTATTATAGCATTAGCGGCTTAGGAGATATGCACATTAAACCTTTTAGGGGTGGGACCACGCCCACTTTAAAAAACAGATTTTAACTGCAGATGCCCCTCCCTAATGTGATTCTGTGTACCAAGTAACAGTCTAGTATCTTATTAGGGAGCTTAGTTATGGCAATTTATTTGTTTTTGATTAATGGCATTTTGTGGGCATGGCAGTGGTCCGATTACGCCCGTCTCACGGTACCAAGAAACATGTCTACCAAGTTTCATAAAGATTGCACGGTAGCTCTAAAGCCTTCTGGGGTATATATTTATTATTTGATCATGTTTGTAGGTTTTTAACAAAATCGTTATATGGAAAGTGGGCGGGGTTATCATCTGATTACATCCATTTTTACAATGTCGGTAGAATAGCTTTAGCAATTTATCCGAAGCGAATTTGGTTATTGTATCTTAAGTGGTTTAGGAGATATGTGCACTAGATCTCTTAGAGGGAGATGCTTAGCTCACAGGTGCTTTTTGCTACTGCGATCACCCGTGCCAAATTAGAGTTTTGTATCTTAATCTAGTGCTTAGTTATATCCTTTATGGGTTTTCGTTTAGTGGTGTTTTGTGGGCGTCTCAGTAGTCCGATTACACCCATCTGCGAGCTCATCCATTCTTTATTTCAAGGAACTCATGTATCCAGTTTCATTACGATATCTCAATTTTTACTCAAGTTACAGCTTGCACTGGCGACGGACAGATAGACAATCACTTGGAATTCATTTCGTCTCGCAATCCTGATCATTTATACAATATATACATAACCCTATATCTATCTCGATTAGTTTTAGGTGGTACAAACAACCGTTAGCTGAACAAAGCTATTATACTCTGTAGCATCATGTTGCAAGACTATAAAAGTACATAAGTGTACTAATTAACATACCATGTGCACACATATGTATGTTGTGATAAAATTTACATGCGTTGAACGAAAATTGTAAATTAATTTTAAGAGCATATGTATAACCTTTGGTATCCATGTTGTAGTTGGAGGTATTGTATATATTCCTGTTAATATACAGTTGTAAAAATTATGTAAAATTCTCCATATTTAGCGCTATATTTGATTACCTCTTTCACTTGGCGATGCTAAACCAATTTTGCTGCTTCGATTTAATTTAAATAGCTTTAAATTATTTTCCATGTCTACATACAACAATTATAAACAAATATGTATGTAGATTAAATGTAGATACCTGTATATTTATTATGTAAGGCATGTACGTATATATGTGTATAAAAATATTAATATTAAACACATACAAATAGAACGGATTCAAATTTTACATAAGTAACTTATTCCCAACTGTCCGGCAAATTGATATAAATAAGCCTCTCCGCTAAACAACAAATACAAACCTACATGTTGGTAATCAAATATATATGAATATATTTATGTACATATGGCATGTATACATATATACAGGTATACATACATATATGTGTGGATATTGCTGAGTACGCAAAAGTTGTCATGTATGTATTCACGTATATGCTTATGTTCTTTCGACTTGCTCTATCTCCGAGAATGCAGCTTCCAAAATCTCCTTACACACATATGAATGCTCATGCTCGTATATGTGGGATATGTTCTACGGCGTAATTTAGCTAACCTACTCCTATAAGATTTATCAAGTTTCTCAAAGCCGACTGAAAGACGGCAGAATTGAAAGAAAGTACAAGAGAACGTTTAAATGAGAGTGCCAGCCACATTCTTCCACTTCACACGCTTGAATTTCTCATTTCATACACACAATATTCATATGTACATAAAAACACATATTCATTCATATTAACATATACATATGTATATATGTATAAGCCTAAGTTAACTGAATGTGACATTCAATCTAAAAAAGTAAGCAAACGTGAATACTTACTTAGCTTACGTTGCTCATAACACATGTTTAAGAACAGTTGCGACTCTTTACTCTTTTTTATAACGCGTTCTCTCTGTTTTCTCACCTCTTTCTCTACATCTCAACGAATAATATACAACTAACACATACCAAATGTACAAATAGTGACCACAGCTTGCAACAACCCGCTGGACCCACACTCTACCCACTCAACAAGCCATTGCGCCCCTTACCAGGTATCAATTGAACTACCCCGTTTTGTCTGCCCGAGAGCAGCCTGGGGGCTTCATGGGTTGGGTGAAGCTGTGCCTTTGAGTTTCCGTTTCCGGTAAAATAAACTGATGAACTTACGAGAGATATTCATTTTCAAATGAAAATTTTCTCTTCATAGTTTTCTCTTATGTGTAGGGTTTGAAAATCGGTCCATAAAAGAGTAATAACGTATACATCTATTTGCATAAAGTTGTTGATATGTTGTATATACCTACTTATAACCATTGGTATGGTTGATTCAGAGAGCATGAATCTGGAAAGTTTACCCTTTAAAATGTCATTTGGCAGTAATACAAACATACAATTCTGTAAGCATAACGTACTGGAACTTCCTATTAGTAGAAATTTGCAACAGAATGTGTTGTTGAGAGAAGAAACTTACTTCTATAACGGTTATCATCCAGTAGTTGTCAATAAGCCCAAATTGAAAAATTTTCGGTTTTTTTTTGTTATTGAAAAGTTTAAAATGGAGAGCTTCCGCAAACGCCTTTTTTGTTCACATATACATTGCTTAGTATACAGTAAATGGTAAGAAAAAAAAACATGAGACGAATCGCTCTAGAGTCTAGACTTATCAGTCTGGCTGTCCGTCTACTATCGCATTTCCAAAAAATTTATGTTATATGTACTTCGGACACATTGCAACCAAGAAATGCCATAACATTCACAAAAATCATTAATTCCCATCAATTAACTCATATAATGAACGATGTATAAGATATAAGACCAGTCTAGATGAACCGACTTCGACTACATATTTAGGGAAGAGTTGCATAACATATCAGCAGGGTTGCCTTGTTAGCCTATTTATGGCTAGATTTAGCTTTTATTTTTTGGGTTTAGCCAGAAAAATTTCGCGTTTATTATTGCTACTACTTCAAATTATCTAGCCTCTTTTACCTTCTTTGGAC